TATGTATGTATGTATGTATGTATGTATGTATGTATGTATGTATGTATTTTTCCTAAAGGGGCAAGGTTTGTGGGCCATTTGGCCAGGTTCTTCCTAGGCAGTTTCGCCTCACTGGCAGCTGCGTTCATGGGTCGTCGTCCAGGAGGGGACTGCTGCATTGCCTTTGGAGGTCGTGATGGCCAGGGACATCAGAAGTAGTCAACTTCCATGCATGGGTCGTCCTGGCCGGCTTCCTCTTCCCCTTGTTCATGGGGACTGCTCTCGTGGGCGGAGTGTTCAGCCCTGGGAGAGAACCGGAGTTTCTTTGGTACTGGCGGTGACATTTGTCCTGGGGCGTCAGGGTTTGGCCGTGGCTGTGCCGGTGGTGGCTGGGTTTCATGGCCAGTTGTGGTGGCTTTGGTAGCCTGGCTGCTGCCCTGACTGTGTTGGCTTTGGGTGCTAAAAATCTGCACCAAGGTGGGTGAGCTCTGGCTTTGGCCTTGGCATGGTTTTTTGAGAGCTTTGGTCAAAATGACTCTGTCCTCTGCATCTAGGTGGCTCTGCGTGCCACAGTTGGTGCAGCGGAGGCCCTTTCCCTTCTGCCAGAGCGCATGTGTGTGGTGGGCTTCGTGAGCTTTGGCATACCTTTCGTCAATGCACCGGCTGTGGATGAAGTCTCGGAAGTTGGCTTCATTGGTCCTTTTGTGAATGGACAGGCTGCATTTCACACACTTGAGGTATCCGGTGGTCTCCTGATAAGTATGTTCATCAGGGGCCTGTGGGTGCTGTTTTTGCACTTCAAGCAGCTGCTTTATGGCGCTGGCCCTCGTGAGCTTTTGGCCGACTGGTTTGTTTGGTCGGAGGTCTGGCTCTGGGGCTTCATGGGTCAGGAGTTGGCAATCCTGCTGGAGGTGTTGCTCAATGACTTCAACCGTCAGGCCTTGATGCACACGGGCGTGGCAGGTGTGGCACTGGTACCCGCTCCTGTGGGGGGCCCATTGGTGCTTGTTGGGCTGCCATGGGAGCTTGCATTGGTTGATGAGTCGTTTCTTGTATTGCTTCGTGTTGTGTCCCGCTCTGCGGACGGGTTTGTCGTGAATGTAATGCTGTGGGTCCTTGAAGATCTTCTCCAGGCGAGCTGCTGCCTGCTTGTAGATGCGCATGTGGTCTTGGTCGAGGGTTGTTTGCCAGTCCTCCGCCTGTTTGTCGAAGAGTGTGCAAGCCCGTTCGTAGGCTGCTAGGGCTGCATCCCGTTGTCTCCGTCGGAGATGGGGTTCGTTGCCGGGTGCTTCCGGTGTTCGTGTGTTCTTGTGGATGTACAGTGGGGTAATTTGCTGATACACGTGCTCCTCAATGCCTTTGGTGAGATCTTCAAACCCATGCCGCTTTCGTGGGTTTGTCCATGCCTCCCAAACGGACCCCAGCTGAACCACCACATTCACCGGCGTGAGGACGTGCTGGGCTAAGGTGAGCAGTCCCTGGAAGAGGGCGCGTGCCTTGGTCTGAGGCCCTGGGGCCATGCCGGTGATGGTGCCGAAGAAGGGTGCCCATCGAGTAGGTGTGGATGCAAAGCCCAAAGACCCATGCTTGGGAACGTGGATCATAGGAGGATGGAGTGGCGTCAAGGGTCACGGACAGACCTTGCCATGGCTGAAGTGGCAGGGCTTCGAGGGAGCTCCAGCACCCATGGCCTTGAAGTGGTTGGGCTACTTGAAGGTGGTCCTGTGGTTCCCTGGGTATCCATCCATGTGCCCACAGTGGTTCTTCCAGTGGATCTTGAAGGCGCTCAGTCCATTCCACGGCCATGGGTGTATGGCCTTGGTTGTGGTGCCAGGTGCACATCCAGACAATGTGCTTGGGTGTGGCTGGGACCCCACACAGGGGGGCAAGGCTTGGGCTTGTCCCCTTGGCGGTAATGGATGGCGGCTTGGTTCCATGTCTTTATGTGCTGGGCCTGTTGTTTCGGTAGGATTTTGGCCGCCTTGTTGGCATTGGTCCAGTCGAGCCCACTGACTAAGCTTTGGCAGTTCTTTTTGCTAGCAAGTCTGCTGGTCCGCTGCTGCTGCGCTTCGTGGTGGAGGATCTGTTCGATGGTCGGCCAATCCTCATGCAGGTTTATGCGGGCTTCGGTCATGAAGGCTGTTTCAGGTCTGTTCCATTGGTATAGGGACTCCGTGGTCCAGCCCCATTCATGGAGGTACGCCAGGGTGGCGGCCATGGGTCCCTTCACTTGGTACCAGGAATGCTGCTGTGTGTGCATCTGGTTGCGGATGGTCAGCCAGGCTGCTTCCACATGCTGGAGGTGGTCAGGGGGCCAGTGGTGGAGCAGGGTGTGCAGCCCCCTGATGTGGTGGATAATGACCTGGTCGCCTGGGTCCGCATACTTTTTGCTGTTTTGGTCATAGATGATGTCCGTGAGTCCCCCTTGGTGCAGGCCCAAGTGTGTGGCTAGGCCTTGTCGTAGTGCCGTTCGATATTTGGACGCGAGTCCCTGGCCTTCGAAACCCCAAAAGGCTACTGGTTGGACTCCCCCCCTGTGGAGTCTGAGCCTGGTGCGGATGTTGGGCAGCTTGAGGCTTCTGAGTTTGATCCGCCGTTGTTTGTTCTTTTTGAATCTCTGTTGGAGGGTGGCTATCCGTCTTCTCCTCCCTGCAGAGTGGTCGATCCCGAGGTCCCTCATCACGGACTGGATGGGTGGGTCATCTGGGCCCAGGAGTTTGGCGAGCTCCTTGTGGATGACTTTGTCTGTGACAATGAAAGCTGTCTTGTGGCTGTTCACTAGCAAGCCGGCTGCAGTGAGATCTGTTCGTAGATGCTTCCAGGCCTGGATGGTTCGTTGGGCCAGCTGGATAGGATCTGTGTGGTTGCCATCAAAGCCAATGTCATCAACCCACCTGTTGAGGTGGAGTTCCGGGAACTCTTGTTGGAAACTGGTGAGGATGGGCTGGAGAAAGGTCTTGGCAAGGAGTGGAGCTTGTGGACACCCTGCCGCGACTCCCGTGGTGGCATGGAACCAGGGACTGAGTTCCCCCTCGGCCAAAATGGCCTTGTGCCCGGTGTACACCTGCATGGCGAACTCTAGTGCAAGAGGAGGGTAGTCCAAGGCTTGAGCTGTTTGTTGTAGCCGTTGGAGATCCAGGGTGTCGTAGAAGGTGCTCATGTCCAGGAGGACAGTGATGCCATGGTTTCCCAAAGATTTGGTGGTTTCCTGACGAAGTAGCCGCTCAAGGGCTACGTGGAGGGCAGTAGCTCCGGGTCTGGCTCTGTCATAGTTCATGGCTTGCGGAAGGTTGTTTTGCCATGCATCCATCAGTGGCTTCCTCATCTTGCACCAAACACGGTAAAGCACACTGGTTAAGGTGATGGGTCGTTCCACCTTCTCGTTCTTTGCCAACATCACTACCAGACTCAAAGTGAGTTGGGTGGGAAGTTCCGCTTTAGCTTCCATGGCTTGCAGAATGCTCAGCAAGGGTTGCAGGGCCTGCTTGGGTGCCGTGCGGAGCAACTGGGTGGTGATTGCGTCTGGACCACAGGCTTTGTCCGGCAGGTGCTTCAGTGTTCGTCCCAATTGCTCGTAGGTGAGCGGTGAGAGTTGGGCTGCTTGTTGCTTTGCCGCGTCTTGCAAGGGCAGTCTGGTCATTGGCTTCCACAGGTTGTGCCAGGCGTTCATTCGATGTCTCATACGGTCGGCCATGGGGATGTTTCTGTAAGGTCGTTGCCAGGACAGTTCACTGGCCTTGAGAGACCGGAAAAGACCTCTTAATCCCTTGGCTTCGCCGTGTTTGATCCATTCTGCGTATTGCAGGCAGGATTCCTCGCGGCTTTGGTTTTGGGCTGTTTCGAGCTGGTGCTGAACAGTTTGTTTCATCAGTTCGAAGGTTCTCTCATCCTTGTACTGGAGCCAGTGTTGTTTTGTGTCCAGGAACTGGGCCCATGTTTGATCTCCCAACCAGTGGTGTTGCACTTGTTGGAGCGCCAGATTTAGCCCCTTGGTCGCCCCTGGTGCTTTGGCGGGTTGGTGCTCGATGAGGTTCAGGCGGGCTTGGATTTGTTCCCAGTATGCTGCTTTGCCTTTCTTCCATATTCCGCCAGCCTTGGTTGGAACCAGTGGTTGGTGCTGGGTTGTGAGGTTGGCTGCTCTGCCTTGTGGTGCCCAAGGATGTTGCTGGAGCAGGTATTGTTCTGTGATTGAGACCCAGTCTGCAAGGCCTCGGGCTCCTGCGTTAGGTGGGCTTTCATAGAGCACTAGGTCCTCCACCTGTGTGACATAGGTGCTCCATGCTCGGAACCCAATGTCCGGGATGTTGGGGAGTGGTGGGAAGCTCCGGAGCTGGTGGTATCGCCTGAAATCATCTTCAAGTTCCAGGGGATAGGTGACCAGACAGTGGGGCCGCCATGGGATGGCCCACTCAGTGGTCATTGAGGTGCATGCCGCCAACTTTTCTTCAATGAGGGCATAGTCCACCGTGTTGCCATTGAGCAGGGTGGCATCCGGTGCCAGGATTTGCCAGTGGAACTTGGAGCTGAGCACAGTGCTTTGGAAGTGCTCTGGATGGTTGTTCCAATCTCCCACCAGGATGAACTGTCTGTTGGTGGCCTGGATCAAAGCCAGGATGCGGGCCAGGATCTGGGAATTGGTGGTGCCCTGGATGGTTTCGTTCGTTTTGAAGTATACTGCCACCACCATGATCGACCTGGCCTGGGCTTCCCATAGGAAGGCTTGGTACCCACATCCTGCAATGGAGAAAGATTCGAGTTGGGTTAGTCCGTGGGCGGTGTCATGGATGATGAGGATGCCCCCATGTGTGCCGTCATTGGTGGCATTTGTTTGTGCTGGGTAGCCAAATGCATGTCTGCCCCTGACCTCGAAATACTGGCACATCGTCTGGTGTTTCTGCTGGTCCAAATGGGTTTCAATCATGACATAGATCTCATTGTCTCTTGTCCAGTACCAGTCCAAGGTGCCCTTGCCGAATGCCGTGATGTTCGCTACATTCAGTCTCATGCTGTCCTGTGTATGTCTGGCTTTTTTGGGCGGTGTGCCATGGAGGGGTGGATCGTAGTCTGGACTCTCCGGTGGAGGTAAAGCCCTGGCTATCTGTCTCGGTGTGATCAGTGCCGCAGTCTGGATGGCCCAGACTTGCACTATTTGGCCGGCCATTTGAGGTGTCAGAAATGGCAGGACTTTTGGTGGAGCTCCGTCGTCGGCGATCCACATGAGGTCCTTGTACACCAAAATGGTGTAGTAGTGCCCCGTGTCGTGGGTGGGCCCTCGGTGGCAAATGTATGCCATGGGCAGGTATTCAGCACTGGCATGGGAGAACCCGTCAAGGGATCTGGGGACCGTGTATGGTCCGTGGGGATTTAGGGCCCTTTTGTGTTTTGTGACAGTGCCCTCAATAGTGACCGCTCTGTTGATGTGACTGACGTGGATGAGTTTGTCGTCACTGAGGTACTGTCCATAGCCTTGGTTGGCCCAGCAGTTCATGAGTTCCTGCCAGGTGATTTCATCCAAGTACTCGTCCGGGTAGTCGACAATGAGGGGCAGCTGAATGTGTTCCTGCACATAGCCACCTTCTTTGATTTCCGTGTGTCTGTATTGCATGACTCTCGTTTGAGATTGGATCCATAGTGAGTGGACAAAATGGGCCGCATCTCCTTCCACATTGAGGTCATGCTTTGCCCAGAGTTGGTGAAGTCCTGGGAGTTGTTGGATATCCACCGGTTCTGAGAGCTCTAAGGAGGTCTGCACTGCCTCTTTGATGACGCCCCAGGGGTCTCTGTTGAACTCCGCTAGATAGGCGCACATCCAGCAAAATGCCCGCCATGGTGCATTTGCATAGCACCTGGCACTTGGGTTTCCCACCACCATGCTCAAGTTCTGCAGGAGCAAATCTGTGGTGGAGGCATAGTATTGTGTGCTCATGCTAGGGCTGCGCCAGTCTGTCGCCCAGGTAGAGCTTGTCGATTCTGGTGCCCCACCAGTGAGCTTCAGGCACGATCCATGTGTGGGCGCACAAAACGTGAGTGATTGGGTCAAAACTGGTGACTGAATTTCTTGAAAGGCCTCAAATGGTGCATTGGAAATTGCTTGTGCTCTGTCGTGTTCAGGACCTCAGGTGTGTTTTCCCCCACACTGTGGCAGTCTTGTGAAACCTGCATCTGTCCTGAGCCGGAAGCAGCACGGCAATCCCATTTGGTTTGGTTGGAAGGCCACAACCTCGCCGATTCATTGGAGTGGTTTGAAAGGTTTCCTGCTCCAATCCTGGTTGCGGTTGGGTCTTCACAAAAGGGCCACCTGGGTGGTGGTGAAGTCAAATCATCAACTTGTTGTTGAGCAAAACTGGTGTTCTGTGCGAACTGTGTTCCCCAGTCGGACTCACCGTGTCCTTCACATGACCATGTGTCATCGTCAGGCACCGGGTAAGTCCACCCCGCAAAGTCCTTGCCGTCCCTGTTACCCACATTGTCCGGGTGGTGGTGCGACAGCGGCATCAGTTTTCCGCCTCTTCGTGGGATCGTCAGGGTCTTGGTTTGGCCTCTTCAAGAGTCCATGGAGTTGGTTTTTCTGCTCCTCAGTGAGCGAGATTCCAAGGCTGTGCACAAAGGATTCAACGGCCATGGGGATTTGTTCCGGCTCTGCGGAACCAGGCGTCAGCTGCTCGGAGTCTGGTTGATGGCCTTCATGTAGTCTTGCGAGAGCTGATGCAGGGCTTTCTGGCCGTCAGCCAACTTGCTTTGGAGGTCCTGCATGTCTGTGAGCAGTGCGGCATATTGGGCCTTGACGCCATCAATCTTCTCCTGAAGTTGGTTCTTCTTGATTGACATGGCTTTCAACTCCGTCACCTGTCCTTTCAGCTTGGTGGCTATTTCTCTTTCGGTGCAGGGCTCTGGTGCTGTGAGCTTGGTTACGATCTGCTGGACCTGAGGGGGCAAGGCATCCATATGGGACTTGAGGATGTCTGTCAGCTCCGGCTCCTCAGGCTTGCTAGGCCCAATGCCAAGCGCTTGCAGCTTTGTCTGTGTGTCTTCAGGTAGCACTGACCAGCTCGTAGTGAGGAGATCTGTGGCCTCTTTCTGCACCTTAGTCTTCTTGAGGGGCTTGATCTTGGTGAGTCCTGGCGGGGAGTCTAGCCATGTGGTGTGTGCTTGACTCCGGTAGGTTGGTCGTCCAAAGCCCTTGCCTTTCCCTGTGCCAGGCGCTGGTGATGGCCACCAGTGGCCACATCGACGGCATTTGCTGCCGGTCTTCACTCGATCGGTCCAGATCCAGTTGTTGCACTCTTGCTTTGAGCAGGTCATGTATGCCCGCCCCCATTGTGGTGACATAGTGCCGAATGAGGGTCACGTCAACCTGTCCGAGGCAGTGTTGTTGGCACAGGTGGTGGCACCGATCACGATCTGGCCTGGAAGGTTCGTTACCAAGTAGGGATAACGGGCAAAGAGGTAGGTGAACTTGTCCAGAAGGAGGGTGGTGTTCAAGGCGAGAAACTGCCAGCCACCGTAGGTCAGGTCAAGAGCGGCAGTGGAGTAGTCGAAAATCGCGAGCAAAGAAGTCCAGTGACGTACCGGACCTTCCGGATGTCTATGGCTTAAGCCTGTATCCGGATTGGTATGGGACCGGCTCAAACCACTCACGGCCTTGAGCCATGTATGTATGTATATATGTATGTATGTATGTATGTATGTATGTATGTATGTATGTATATATGTATGTATGTATGTATGTATGTATATATGTATGTATGTATGTATGTATGTATGTATGTATGGTATGTATGGTATGTATGGTATGTATGGTATGTATGGT